GATAATGTGAAAAGTTTAAAGATAGACGGACAGACGGACGACGGACAAAATTTGATCAGAAAAGCTCACTTGAGCCTTCGGCTCAGGTGAGTTAATAAAATGTCTTGTACTCAGGTCAAACAATCTTTCTACTTCCAATAAATCTCTGTTAAAAAGTCATAGCCTGGACAAGATTGCATGGACAGATCAGATGGACACACATACATGGATATTCGTATATATACCCATATTATGTTTGCAGGGGATATAAATAATTATAAGAGGCATATGGGCCACATGGAGCACTTTTGTGAGAGAGAAGCAAGCCTGGTAGTATGCATTCTTAGATGTATCACCAATGCAAATTTGTTTGACATAGGGTTTATAGTTACTTGGAAATAAAATCTGCACCAAAAACTTTAACCTGTTTACTCATCTGGAAAATGTGGGTCAGATCCAAAGACTGAAGCAAGTCCCTTTGTGTGCATCCTTAGGTGTATCATCCATGCAAGTTTGGTCATCAAAGGGCTCGTAGTTATTTAGAAATGAAACCTGCACCAATATCAATAACCTGTTCACTCATCTTGAAAATGTATGTCAGATTCAGCATCCAAATCTAGCCTGGTTGTATGCATCGTTACTTGGAAATAAGACCTACACAAAAACTGCACCAAAATGTTAATTTTAACCTGCTCCAAAAACATTAACCAACACCGACACTGAGGAGGTCTGAGGGTATCACATACAAGCTCCCCCAACTTCATTGAGGTGAGCTTAAAATGTTCAAATAATATGATTTGCAATCCCGACAACATGCTTGTTCCTATTCTTCAATCTAGTCTGATCATTACAAAGAATTGTAAACCATTTGACTGTTATAATTGGTGTATTGATGTCTTTGGTGTGGTTTTTATTTAAAGAATGTTTTTAAGTTTTTTGCAAGTTATTTGTGTGTGAATCAGACTTGTCACGTAGGCATATTTCATGAAGCGTGCTAGCGCTTGATGAAAAATATGCCTACGTGCAACTCTGTGTGATTTAAACACCAATAATTCACACTAAACTTAAAAACATTCCTTATATTTACAATTTACATGTTTGGAAGCACCAAAAATAAGAAGTACTTTTTTTCCGCGTGTTTTTAATTTATTGTATGTACGCGGTCACAAATTTTCAGCGGAAATTTGTCCAAGCGCACTTAATTTAAATGTAAGGCATATAGTGACAGTCAAAGAAATTCGCGTAATTTTCTACATGCGGATTCGAAAGAAATTGAGATTCTGCGGAATTATATGACCCTGTGGAAAAAAGTATGTCTATAGTATTTGAATTTCTCGCTGCCCTATATCGTTATACTTTTACTACCATTGTTGTAGCCTTCTTGTGATGTCACGTCAATGTACGTTTCTCCCTGTATATTTTTATGCATGAGTACACACAAAAATGGTATTCATGTCAATTTCACAGTTGGCTTAGTAGAAAAAGACAGTGAATGTAAATATTTTTGTTTACAGAAGCAAATTTAAACAAGAGGCCCATGGACCACATCGCTCATTGAGCCTATTGGCTATAAAAAAGTACAAATCAGTATTGAAAGGTTTACAGGATGTTGGGGGGGGGGGGGGGGGGGGGGGGGGGGCTCCCTGCCCCAAGGAGTCAAAATTTGAACAAATTTAAACCTTCACTACATGAGAATGCTTACATGTCATTACGATTAAACATAGGTGAGAAGATTTTTTTTCCTCCATTTTCTTATGTAGAGCTTTGTTGATCCACCTTCTTGGCCCCACCCCAACCTTGGGGGTTACGATTTGAACAAATCTGAAGCTACACAACCAAAGGATGCTTCCATATAAATATCACCAATCATGGATTTGATGTTCTTGAGAAGATTTTTAATAAATATTCCTTTGTAAAACTTTGATGGGCCATTGTGGCCCCATCCTATCCCAGGCGGTCACAATTTGAACAAACTTGAATCTACACTACCTGAGGATGCTTCCACCAGAGTTTCATCTTTCCTGGCCCAGTGGTCTTTGAGAAGATCTTTAAAAAATGCCATTAATTTTTCACTAATTCATAATTATCTCCCCTTGGAAGAAAGCGTTGCTCTTCATTTGAAGAAAATTGAATCCCCTTCACCCAAGGATACTTTGTGGCAAGTTTGGTTGAAAAAGGCCCAATGGTTCTTGAGAAGAAGATGAAAATGTGAAAAGTTTATGACAACAACAACAATTAACGATGACGACGACAGAAAACAGACAACTTTTGATCAGAAAAGCTCACTTGAGCAAAAGACTCATGTGAAGTAAAAAGTGGTGTAATGATATAGCCTCCTTATATAACAATCTTTTTTTTAAAATCTTTTTTATAAGTAGAAAAATTTTACCTTTAAAACTACAGGGTTTGGTAATAATTACAATGTTTTACAGCAATATAAAAATTGTGTGATTAAAAAGTTGAATTAAACATCATACATATGTGCAGAAAATATTGTAAGAGATTTTTTGCACCTGATAATAGAATACAATCAAATAGATATAATGCAAAGAAAAGATGAGTGGCATTCTAACTAAACTGTTCATCTTGCATTCACCATTCACTTTGCACTCGCATTTGCACTCCACTCACATTCTGCTTTCATTCAACATTCACGATGTTGTGTTCAGCATTCACACATCGTTCACTCAGCATTCACTCTGTGTTAGTTCAGTGTTCATTCACCGTTCACTCAGTGTTCATTTAAGAAATAAACAACAATGTTAAAAAGTTCACTGGGAAATGAGCTTTTAGTTGGTCATGTGATCAAATCCTGTAAAGCCCAAAGGGCTTCTCAGTAGATTAGATCACGTACCAGCTAAAAGTTCATTTCCCAGTGAACTTTTTAACATTGTTGTTTATTACTTATATTTACATTTGAGATGAATAAATTCCAAATAAAACTGCATTTATTACATGAACGGGCAGCCGTATTGCTATGTTTTGACGCACAATGACCTAGGGGGCGTAGAAGTTGTTTGGTTTGAAAGTTCGTGTCGCTCCAACATTGAATATTTACAATGATGATCAGCAGTCCAGTTCAGGAATTCTGTGTTTATAATCTAAGAACAATGATCCCCACTGAGAATAATCTTTCTATTTTAATGTTTGAAATCAAAAGCAGGGATATCCCCCGTTTTAGTTAACATAACTTCAAAGGAATTTTGGGTTAAAAAGGTAAGTTCGATTTTTGGCTGTAATTATAGTATTTAAAACGTTCTTCACACTAAAGGAAGATCTACTGAACATCTGTTGAATGAAAATATCTGTATGTGTCCTCTACGAGGGTTGTCCCAAAAAGTCGTAGACAGGGAAAACAGTTTTGTTTGTCTTTGCTTAATTAAATTTCTTTCCTTATCATAGCCAAAAGTAACATTTTATGATCATGCATTTCAAGTTTCGTGAAGATATCACATTTAATAAGAAAATTATGAAAAAATAAAGAAAGCCTGTAAGTGTACATCGGCACACGAAAGTAAACGTAATTTACGTCCCTTATAACGTCATGATATCTTTTTCTGCGTCGCATGCCTCTGTTAACATTCAATTTTCTTTTTTAAGTGAAAAACCACTTTTGACTTAGGGACACTTAAATTCACTACTGTCCATACTTTTTGGTTTGTTGTTTCTTTTTTTAAAGCAGATTCAAATTTCAGTCAAACTTGAGTCGAAAGATCGCCTTACGTTGTAGGCAGCAGAGAATACACGTTGTTTGATGCCGTTTGAGGCCCAGATTGTACCCCACTGTCTGTGTTTAACAAACAGTACTCTACTTCTTAAACGCTGCAACTATTTTCGATATAACTCTCATTGAATATCATGTCATTCAAAACTTCTCTATAAAAATCTAGTGTGTATTGTCACATCTGCACTCTTTTTTCTTGTCTTTGATGTATATAAACCATATCCTAAGCAATTTATTACATCTCCTTGTGCCGGTTATCGTGTTGACGACGTTATTTTCATCAAACTCAATTCAAGCAACACTTTGAAAGTCATGACACCAATAGTCTGTTTATAATGCTATTTATATGAAATTTTGACATATTATTAAGATTTTAATTTGGATTTCACTGATCAATGATCGAGTTCAATGCTTTACGTAGTACTAGAGAAATAAAAGCAAATGTTATAGTTATATGCTTAAATTATTCCGAATTTTGTTCGTGCGCCGACAGACCTTATCAGCCTTCATATAAATCGTCCTGATTTTAATAATATCGAAACATATATATTTAAGAATTCACAATTTTAAAGAACATTGAATATGATATGCCTATGCAAAATTTGGTTTGTATTGGTTGCATGTTTAAAAAGTTATAAACTTTGTCTTCGACTTTTCGGGACAACCCTTGTATTTTACTTTTTTCATCGCTTTTAACTAATTAGCAGTTCCAAAAACAGACAGAAATATATGTAAACAAAATATCACCTCGCCGAGCGATTCGGTTGCACTTTGACCTCTGACCCCCAAATAAAGTTCACACAGAATTGAACATTTCTCTTCAATAGGTTCATCTAAGAAAGATATAATGCAAATGTAAATATTCACCATTTAATCAGCATTCATTCACAGTTCTCTCAGCATTCATTAAGCGTTCACTCATCGTTCCCTCACCGTTCAAGTGGGAAAGTAGAATCTTTCAGGGACTGTACTGTGAAATCACAAATTTTCGTTGGAGTTTAATTTTCGTTGTTTTCGAGGTATGAAGAGACCCAAGAACTCACGACCACCACGAAATGTAAAATATTGAATACTACACAATTCTTCATCCACAAATTCAAATTCCCACGAATAAATAGTTTTAACTCAAACCACAAAAATTTGATACCATGAAAAATATGTGATTTTACAGTATTTGATGATTTTTAAATAACTAATGCCTAAATATTTAGTGTATTCTAACAATGTTAGTGAATTATCACTATTATAGTGTAATTTATATTTACTCTCAACTTTTCATCATATGTTCTTGTAATACCTATTTGTCCTTGCTCCAGCAGACGTATGTCTGGTCTCAGTCGACAGTCAGTGGGGGGAATCTTATTGGCGTTCTCTTCTGTTATCTCATTCAAAGCCATAGTAAATAGAGTAAAACTGAAATACTGTAATAAAATCATTGTGATAATAGCAATTAAACAACACATTGCAATTTTAAAATGTACAGTATGTATATACAGATATTAAGTACTTTATAAGGATTGAGGCAGGATATATCCCATTTCCAAACAATTATAGAGTGATTTTTTTAGGATATTACAGGATTTTTTTTTTTTCATCAAAATACAAGAAAACCAATGGACCACAATGCTCATCTCAGAAACTTTGGCCATGTTGTTCTTTTTATTAAGATTATTAAATCATAATATTATTTTAATCATATATTCCAAGCTCTTTAATTGGCTTAAACTTGATCACATGATTTAGTATATAACAGCATATAGACTTGAGTTACTATTTATAGAATCTGAAATGCATATCGACTTGATGTTTCTTAAAATAGCGGTAATTTTCTGTAAAACAAAAAATTAATAAGAAAGATTTCACAATTATAGCTAATACAGTATATGACTTGATGTTTTTGAAAAAAAAAATATATACTTCAACTTGTTGGAGAGAACGATCATAAGCATTTATGCCTGCTGTTCAATCCAATTCTTAATGAATAAAATATATTTTAAACTAAACTTGTATTCAAATTTGTAATGTTCTGTAACAATGGCCTGAATTACAATCTACTTAATATTAGAACATATTGAACATCTTTGTCAAAATTGATACAAAACAAGCAAAAAGATGTACATTTGTAGTACTTTCAATTAGTAAATCCTCTAAATTATGTAAAACTCTCAAGTCAAGGAAAGTTTAACACAGTTATATAAAACAACTTAATTTATTTTGATTTCTAGTCTCTAAGTGTTTAAGAGAGAAAACTTGTGGTTTGTTCCCAATTTTTCAAATTGTTTTCTTATCAACCTCTGTACAAAATAATATAACAAATGTAGCCCTTTAATTCTGTCAATCCATAGATATATATCGACTTCACAGAAAAGCATATCGACCTCGCACTTCGTGCTCGGTCAATATGCTTTTCTGTGAAGTCGATATATCTATGGATCAACCTCATCAAAGGGCTATATTTATATAGTATATATATTTATGATGAAGAAAGGTGCATCTAACAAAATGGTTATTTTTTTATGCCACACTGGGTCGGATGGGGGGGGGGGTGTTACATAGTCTGAAAATAAATTAATGCTTTGAAATCTACTCTTTGGTATTAATCAACCATTTTATGATCAAATTTACAAAATTCTGAAATATGTGGCCCCATCAATCCAAAGTTATGGGCAAGGTTAAAGTTTTTGTGACGGACGGACAGACAAACAGACAGACAAATGAACGATATTTTGTGTTTTTGAAGTAGATAAAGTATCTCTTAATGTAAATCAGGACAGAAATTGCACTGTTAACCAATATATGCGGGCTTGGTATTTTCAGCAGGACTGACAGACTTTATGAACAGTCAGCCCTGCTGGTCCACCTGAATTTTTTCCGAGTTTTGGACACTGTTATGATAGATCAGAATCGTTCATCGGAATTATTGAAGAAAAAATTTAATAATCGTAGAGAAAATGATTTTCATAGATGTAATGTATTTTCACTATATAATCATTATAGAGCAGTGCCCTAACACCATAACCCCTGACCATGGGGCCATAAAATTCACAACTTTGGTACAAGCATTCTTGCTCATCATAACTAAGTCACTTAGTTAGTTTATTTAATACATAAGAGCAGAGAAGAAGATTTTCAAAGAAATAATGCATTTTCACTATATAATCAATAGAGCCCCTCCCGAACCCTGGGGCCATAAAATTCAAAATTTTGGAAAAGACACTCTTTTTCATCATAGCTTTTTACTTAGTTGGTTTATTTAATACACAGAAGCAGAGAAGAAGATTTTCAAAGAAGTAATGCATTTTCACTATATACATGTAATCAATAGAGCCCCGCCCTAACCCCTGACCCTGGGGCCATAAAATTCACAATTTTGGAAGATGCACTCTTGCTCATCATAACTTTTTACTTAGTTGGTTTATTTAATACCCAGGAGCAGAGAAGACTTTCAAAGAATTAATGCATTTTCACTATATAATCTATTTAGCCCCGCCCTAGTAATAGAACCCCCGACCCTGGGGCCATGAATTTCACAATTTCGGTAGAGGCACTCTTTCTCATTATAACTATATACTTAATTAGTTTATTTTATACCTAGGAGTAGAAAAGATTTTCAAAGATTTAATGCATTTTCACCATATAATCAATAGAGCACTGCCTTAACACCAGAACCCCTGACCCTGGGGCAATAAAATTCACAATTTTGGTAGAAGCACTCTTGCTCATCATAACTATTTACTTAATTAGTTTATTTCATACTCCGGAACAGATAAGAAGATTTTCAAAGAAATAATGCATTTTCACTATATAATCAATAGAGCCCCGCCCTAACACCAGAACCCCTGACCCTGGCGCCATAAAATTCACAATTTTGGTAGAGGCACTCTAGCTCTTCACAAATATGTACTTAGTTAGTTTATTTAATACCCAGGAGCAGAGAAGAAGATTTTCAAAGAATTAATGCATTTTCACTCAATAATCAATAGAGCTCTGCCCTAACACCAAAACCCCTGACCCTGGGGCCATGAATTCAATAATTTTGGTAGAGGACTCAATGCTGATTACAATCATACCAACAGTTTGACTGCTTGAAGTCCAGGAGTAAAGAAGAAGATTTTTAAAGACTGCACTAATTTTAGTGGTTTTGGCCCCACCTATCAGGCCCCTTGGGGGGCAGGGACCATGAAATTCACAATTTTTGTTCCCCTTCACCCACATATGCTATATGCCAAAATTGGTTGAAATTGGATCAGTGGTTTCAGGGAAGAAGCTAAAAATGTTTAAATGTTAACGCACAAAGAATGACGACGGACGTATAGCAATAGGTCACCTGAGTTTATTCAGGTGACCTAATAAATGCAATTAATTATATATATTATTTTAGCGATCTCAGCACCCACGCTAATAATGCCAAAATTAAATCCTCGCTAAAAATTCTACTTAGACGGAATCTTAATAAACAAGAGGCCCAGGGGCCACAGCGCTCACCTGAGCACATCAGCTAGGAAAAAGCACATATCAGATCAGAACTGAAAGTTTACTGAGGTTGGGGGGGGCTTGAATTTTAACACCCAAGGGGATCATGATTTGAACAATTTAACTAGAATCTACACTACCTGTGGATGATTCCATATAAATATTACTAATCATGGCTTTGAAGTACTTGAAAACAAGATCTTAAAAGGTTTCCCTATATATTTCTAGTTAAAACTTTGGTCAGCCATACTGGCCCACCCCTACCCCCAGGGTCATGATTTGAACAAACTTGAATCTATACTACCTGAGGATGATTCCACATGAGTTTCATCTTTCCTGGCCCAGTGGTTCTCGAGAAGAAGATTTTTAAAAATTTTTCCTATATATTCCTATGAAAAACTTTGATCAACCATTTTGGCCCCACCCTACCCCTGGGGGTCATGATTTGAACAAACTTGAATCTATACTACCTGAGGATGATTCCACATGAGTTTCATCTTTCCTGGCCCAGTGGTTCTTGAGATGAAAATTTTTTAAAGATTTTTCCTATATATACTCCTATGTAAAACTTTGATCGACCATTTTGGCCCCACCCTACCCCCGTGGGTCATGATTTGAACAAACTTGAATCTACACTACCTGAGGATGATACCACATGAGTTTCATCTTTCCTAGCCTAGTGGTTCTTGAGAAGATTTTTTTTACAATGCCATTAATTTTTCTCTGATTCATAATTATCTCCCCTTGGAAAAGGGCCTGGCCCTTTATTTGAACAAACTTGAATCCCTTTTACCCAAGGATACTTTGTAGCAAGTCTGGTTGAAATTGGTCCAGTGGTTCTTGAGAAGAAGATGAAAATGTGAAAAGTTTACAACGACAACAACAACAACGACGACAACAACAACAACGACAAAAGACAACGGACAAATTTTGATCAGAAAAGCTAACAAGAGGCCCAGGGGCCACATCGCTCACCTGAGCTAATCGGAATCAGATCAGAACTGAAAAGTTTACTGAAGGGACGGGGGGGGGGGGGGGGGGGGGGGGCTTGAATTTTAATACTACTTGAGAATGCCATCATATTAATACAGCATATGACTTTGAAGATTTTTTTTTTTAAAAACATTTTCTTTCTATATATTTTATGTACTTCATAATAATTTAAATTTGTTTCCCAATTGTTTCCCTCCCTACCCCAATGGGCCATGATTTGGAACAAATTTAAATCCTCCATACATGAGGATGCTTCAGTATGACTACACATAGCTTTTCTGTTCTTGGGATTTCCCCCTATATTTTACTATGTAAATCTTTGATCCAACCTTGTGGCCCCATCCTACCCTTGGGGGTTATGATTTGAACAAATTCTATACTACCTGAAAATGCTTCCATATAAATACTAGTATCACTACTCATGGCTTTGCTATTGTTGAGAGGAAGATTTTTTAAAAATATATTTTATACATGTAAACCTTGAATCCCCCATTGTGTGGCCCTACCGTATCCCTGGGGGTTATGATTTGAACAAACTAGAATCTACACTACCTGAGGATGATTTCATATAAATATCACTAATCATGGCTTTGAAATACTTGAGAAGAAGATTTTAAAAGATGTTTCCTATATATTCCTATGTAAAACTTTGATTAGCCATTGTGGCCCCACCCTACCCCCCCCCCACCCCCCAGGTCATAATTTGACCAAACTTGAATCTACACTACCTGAGGATGCTTCCACATGAGTTTCATCTTTCCTGGCCCAGTGGTTCTTGAGAAGATTTTTTAAAAAAAATTTCCTATATATTCCTATGTAAAACTTTGATCGGCTATTGTGGCCCCACCCTAACCCCGGGGGTCATGATTTGAACAAACTTGAATCTACACTACCTGAGGATGCTTCCAAATGAGTTTCATCTTTCCTGGTCCAGTGGTTCTTGAGAAGATTTTCA